GTACCTGGAAAGTAAAGGGCCCTTGTTAGAATTATGGACCGCATTGGCATGTGGTTTTTTTTTAATCAAAACATTTGTAAAGATGTATGCAATTTAAAAATTAGATTCCATTGCACATTTGAGAAGCAAATTTGAAATTCACATTTCTCTGCCTACTTATTCTGCTGCTGCTATTTTCAGCCTGGAATTGAAACTTGGATTTAAATAGGACCTGAGACTGGCTGTCAGTGAATATGAGCAAAGGGGTAGGGAGCAGAGACTGGACCGAAGAGCACCAGGTAAGTCAGAGCACCGTGTCCTATGGATCTGGAATTGGAATGGCAGCTCCAGCTCTCTGTGACCTGTTGACATAGACACCAGTTGATCATGCAGATTGAGAGCTCTGACCATCCTATGCAACGCTGTCCCTTACACTGGCCCAGCTGGCTACAAACCTGACCAGACTGCAGGAAACAGATGGGGAAGCAGGGGGTTGAGGCTGCTGGGTGAAGATTAGCTAAGTGGGAAGGCAGTGAGAGGAGTGGGAAGGATCTGTGGCTGCAGCCCCTTGCGGGGGAGGTGTGTGGCGGGGGGTGATATCTGTTGTTGACATTATTTCATGTAATATTTTATAGCCATACCAGAGTCCAGGGATGCTGTCAGTTTAGAAACCACCCTTTTCTTCTTGGGTTTCATACTGCCTCCCCATCATTAGAGTATCTGGGCACTGTCCATGTAAAATCAACAGCAATAGCCAAGTCAGGTGTGAACTTTATGGGGTTAAAATGCTGCTTGGAGTTGGGATTTGGTTTGGGAGGGGTGGCATCATTTTTAGATTTTATTAAATTCCTTTTTTGGCTGGTAGAGGCTTTGGGGTAGGAAGGAGGTTCTTTTTATACCCACTGTTGCTTTTTTAATGATTTTTCTACATAAGAGATTTCCCGCTTTTCCCAAATAGCTCCCTTCTAGGAGTGACTGGAAACCCATGGGAGGATGTAGGGCAAAGCACTCTACCTTCACACCACCTTTAAACTTCTCCACTAGCTACGAGGTTGGCAGCATCCAAATAAATCCGTCTGTAATTGCGGCAAAAATATGCCTAAACGTGATTTCTTCCACCATGCAGAGTTCCTGTTTGTGGCTGTGTTATTACCTAGCGTCTAGTGAAGGTATAAACCTCAAGGTAAAAAAACTAGCAAAATCCGAGTGTCAGCTGAACAGTAGCCCCTGAGCAGCACAGGTTGGGCTAGCGAGTCATGTGGCTCCTGGCCAGGCAATCTATGCCAATAGTTTCATCCATTATACAGTAACTGGCATGTCTTGGTTTTTTCACTGGGGAGTGCTGCTCATCTGGTTAATACTGTCTCCTAACATAGCCCCCTCCCTCCCTTATTAGCTGCTAAGGAGTGTTTATCTTCTGTGCACCCTCACTTGAGACCCTAGTTCGCTTGTCCTTCCCACCTCTGTAAGGAACAGCCTTGCTACAGCCTGCTGGGGAGAGCCATAGTTCTGAGTACAAGAATTGAAATTGGGATTGCCTGGGTTCTAATCCCAGTTTCCCAGGTCACTTTGTAAAGCCTTAGGGAAGACGGATTAAGTTCTGTCTGATGCAGGAAGTCGGTATGCTAGAGATGACGGACACAGTATATCATGGGTGTGGAATAGTTGCCTTAGCCTTTATTATTAGACATGGTCGTGCTGAGCAAATCCATGGAAAGTGGGGTTGCTTTTGAGACTGTGAGCTCGTTGGAGCCTGTCTGTGACTCCTGCCAAGTGCCCAGCACACCGTTAGGGGCTATTAAAATAATAGTTCCCAGAATGAGCCTCATTTCTGTTCCCCGGAGCACAGGCCATCCTGTGTCTATCCGCCAGAGCGGGGTTCCTTCCCCATTGTGTTTGCTTCTTGCTTGTAAATCAGGCTGGGGACAGGGTTCTGGGAGACTGGGGCTAGGCGGATTCCTCTCTGCTCAGTGGGGACAATAGCTGGTTGTGCTGTGGGGAGCTATCCGGGGGATTGCCAATGGGGCCTTCTCCACTGTGACTCTGACACTGAACTCTCTGTGACCTGGCTGGGTATCAGCCCTCAAACTCGGTTCACATGTTTGATCCCAAGTAAATATTCAACCTGGTGATTTGAAAACCTAAAGAGAGGAACGTGCCTGGACTAAAACACCTTTAGTTTTTCTCTTTTCACCTGTAAAATGTTGCAAATGCCCTGTGCTCTGAAACCCCGACATGTGACATGGAGAGACACAATCTCCTTTGCTTTTGCTATAAAACATCCTCTATCTTCCACCTGGGGCTACTGGGTGAGGGGTGGGAGTGGATCAAAGCAATGAATGTGGCTGGTAACTATTGTGCATTCCCGCTGCTGCCAAGCTTTTCCCCTCCTTGTCTGGGTAAGGGGTTTGCCTCTGGGGATTTGCCCTTAATCCTCTAACATCCATGTCTCTTGACCATTCAAAATGTGAAGAACAGTTGTCAGGAATTACTGGTATTTATCACTCGTTATCATCGGTATTATTAAATCATGATTGGAGGACGTCAGTCCCTCAGCCTGAGGTTCCGAGTCTATTACAGGAGTGGGTGGGCAAGATTCTGTGGCCTACAATGTGCAGGAGGTCAGGTGAGAGGATGGTCTTACTTTTACGGCAGGGCCCAAAGATCCCCATTGTGCTAGGTGCTGTACAAACACACGTGAAGAGACAGCCCTTGGCCTGCCGAGCTTACTGACTTGGATCCAGCCACTCGTGCATCAAGGCTTCACGTGGGAGCTGGGGAAAGGAGAGGCTTTGCTAATGTTTGAGTATGAATCTATTCAGGGGCCTCCGCGGTCCTGTCCCCATCTGTTTCCCTTGTGGCTAGCGTCTACGTCACACACATTCCCCACCGCAGTTGTCGTTGAGAGACCCCTCTCAGTGGCCATGTCAGCGGCGAAGCTAAGGGGGAGAATGGACCATCTTCCCCGTTACAGAGGGTTCCTCTAGCCTGACTCAGGCAGGCTGATGGGGGGACGTAATAGGGGACCTTGTGTATCCGTGGCCTGTGCCTGCTCCGTGAAGAGGGCTGTCGCCATGGTGCTCCTCGCTAGCAATATGTTCAGCCCTTTGCTGCACCCCCACAAGCCAAATGCCTTTGCTAATCCAGATGCATGGCAAAGCAAACTAGGGTTTGGCTGGTGGGAGTGGGGAGTGAATGGTGGCTGGCTTTCTGTTTTCAGACCGTCTCCGAAAGGCCTGTTCGTGCCATGCCTTCCACCTCCATGTGTAGCTTGGCGCAGTCTTTCTGCTGTGGCAGGGTGCTGAAATCTGTTGCTCTTTGTCTGAACAGTGTATACAGACGCCTCTCTGGGGCACTGGCATTCAGTGCTGAGGCCGACTGATAAAAGTTCCGTTTGCTTTCAGGCTGTGGGAGAGGGTCTTTGTTCTGTGCAGAAGTCAGTGGTCCCTCAACCCTTGCAGTGAGGCCCTCCTGCTGCGAAACAGGGTGCAGATGGCCGGCTTGAAAGCTCTTGGGATTGTTTTTATTTAATCCACCCACTTAATTGCTCATGAGATCACACAACTTTCAGATGCAAAGCCTGAAGCTTGCATGCTGCTCCTCAAGCAGGCTTCTGTCATTGCCAGAGGCAGGCCCCTTGCTAGCTTTATACTGATGCCAAAGATGGATTTATTTATGGGGCCCACTTCTGGAGGGTTTGCTAAACAATGTCTCCCTCCTTCGCATTCGGAGAACCATCGAGGCTTCTGCCTCTGTGCTGCAGTGCCTGGCTTGGGAGTTGACAGGACCAGAGTCTATTTATAGGGCTGTCCTTATAACAAAGCATTCCATTTGTGATAGTCCAGCATGGATCATGTTTAACATTACCATCACTTCCTTACAGCTGAGCAGACGTGCCCTAGAGGCAGGCCAGTGTTTGGCCTTCTCTAAATTTCTGTGTCGGCGGAATGGGATCACCGGGGAGGTTCAGGGAAAGATTCCAACGGGAGAATTTCCTGTGGGGAATTAGGATGGGGTGGGTGGTGAAGTATCAGCCTTCCCAGTTTTGTAGTTTATCTAAATGTCGGGTGTCCATAATCCCACATGCCCATCTGTCTCAAACACTCAGTTAGCTTGTCACCAGTGCCACGGCTTGTGGAAAGAGATGGTTCTTGGCAGAAATGCAGAGTTGCACTTGACCTTCCAACCATGGAAGAGTGTTGCATCTTCCAGAAGTAGTGCCAGGAGGGCTACTTGTGTATAATGATGAGTTCTTCTGTGCAGCATGGAAAAGAGCAGTATGCAGCTTGGGAAAATTACTGGCTGCTTTCAGGCTCCGTTTAAAATAGGCATTGGGCACAACCGGGCCTCTGGCACCCGAGATAAGTGAGTGCTACCCTCGGTTCCCACTCTAGTCTGAGCAGCAGTTCATGTTTCAAGTGTACTTGTGATCAGGGCATGTGGCTAGGAGCCAGGATTCCACCCCCAGTTCTGTTACCATCTTGTGTGATCCTGGACAAGTTGCTGCCCCTTGGTGCCTCAGTTTTCCCATCCGCAAAATGGGGATCTTTGCCTACTGTGTGGGCGGTTTACTGTGTGGAAGGTGCTCCAGATGCATGGGTGAAAGGCACCACAGAAGGGAAGCAGTGTTACAATATGATGCATTGGCTGGGCGTGGCACTTGTAGAGAACAGGGACCCAGTGACCGGTGAAGCCTCTTCCATCTCTAGCTGCTCTGATCCTAATTTTGAAGTTGTAACCACCTCTTGCAATGCTGTAACCTAGTAAACGTCTGTAAAAAAATAACTTGCAATCACATCTCCTCCCCACATCAGGACTGCAGAGAGCCTGAAACAAAGGAGAAATCGCATGTTCGAGAAAACAAACATGTCATCTGATAACTAGAAGCTCTGTTGAGTGCTGCTCCTCTGGTTCTTGTCCCCAAAAGCTCTCTGTGGAAGTCCAGCTTCACAGTCCCTGGCTGCTTATTTATTGGGGTCTCCCCAGATCTCCTGACCTTCCAAATGTCTCTTGTTCCCTAGCTGCAGGCACTTACCTGCCACCCTTGCAGCAGGTATTTCAAGCACCACGTCGGCCTGGGATAGGAACCGTAGGGAAGCCTATCAAGCTCTTGGCCAACTATTTTGAAGTGGACATTCCCAAGATCGATGTGTATCACTATGAAGTGGATATCAAGCCCGATAAATGTCCACGCAGAGTCAACAGGTAAGGCAAGTATTAAAGGATTCAGCACTCTTTCCCGACTCAGCTCCTTTGTACAGAAGCAGCGGCTGGGAATGCTGTTCCCGTCCCGGAAGGTGTGCGGTGCGGGGGAAGCACCAGAGTGAAGCTTCTGTGATTTCTGATCCCTCCCCACTCTGGGATGTGGAACAGAATGTGCAGAAGTTACTGTCTGTGCCCAAGACCATGTGAAACTTCTGGGAGCTCTTTGCAAAATCTCCAGTATTTTTTTGCTGCCTTTTTGAAGTTCAGTGGATAATGTGATCTGGGCGTGAGAACACGAAACGTCGCCTTCCCCCAGCAGAACCGATTTTTCAAACACTGTCCCCTTCCGTGTAAAAACAGGGTCAGGTTTGAAAGTGCAACAAGATGCAAAGCGCTCCAGATTGCCCAGTGATTATTTCACTCGCCTCTAATTGTAGTGTGGCTTGTGACACATGGATTGCTTTGTCCCGGCTGGGGCAGAAGAGTGAATTCTACTAGCACGGCTGTCTAATGGCATCCATGTTCACTCTAGACACTGAGAACACACAAGCTACAGCTGTATTTCTTCTTGGATGTAGCTAGTACGCTCTCAGTCCAATGTGCTCCAAGCCTTCCTGTGTCGAATGATGTGGGCATTCCCCCAGCTACGCAGATGGCTGACCCACGAGCCGACACGTAGACCTGTACAGTCCCAGGTTTCCTATGCTGCTCAGCTTTCGTTCCTGGTCCTGATGGCTCAGGAGATACTGGACCGTAAGACTGCCCCCGGTCCCTCGGAGCAGCTGGGCTATTTTGGCAACCGATGCAGACTTAAAAACAGCAAGCCCCAGACCTTGGGCCAGTGTAAGTTCTTGATCCCCTACTCCCCCTGCCCCCAGCAGCATATTTAATTCAGAGCTTGGGAGGCCAGTGAGCAGATGCTGCTGTTGTTCCCTGGCCATTTGGCAGCTTGTCTATGTGTAGACACTTGTCGCTCTCCCCTGCCCTTGTGGTACGCTCCCCGGGGCTGCCGCCCGCTCCGGGTGCACAGGTGCACATTCCCACATGCCTTGTAACCCTATTACACCGTCACTGATTTTTCAAGATACCGGGCAAGACGCACACCTGTTCATCTGGGGGCTGAAGGGTTGTCTGATTTGTTTCTGATCTGCCTGAGGTGCTGCTATTAGATCTTGAGATGGCCCACGTTACAGTAATTTTTACATGACTTGTTCTGTCCCAAGAGGCTAAGCTGGGAATCAACCAGCCAAATAAATGATCCAGTTAGCTTTGCTTTTCTCTCCTTTTCTTCTTCCTTTCTCTTGCCCCCCTGTTCTCTGTAGGGAGGTTGTGGAATACATGGTGCAGCACTTCAAACCTCAGATCTTTGGAGATCGGAAGCCGGTGTACGACGGGAAAAAGAATATCTACACCGTCACTGCCCTGCCCATCGGAAATGAACGGGTGAGGGCGGGGACCAGAAGCTCCTGGGGGTGGCCCAGCCAGGGGTACTCGGTGCTTCCAGGAAGCACCATGTGCATAAAGATCGAATGGGAGCATGGTTCTGGCTCTAGAAAAGAAAACGAAAGGATCTTGGGGATGGGAAGAGAGGTCCTGTTCCCCAAACTGTGGCCAAGAAGTTCGGCCCACAGGTAGAGATGTGGGGATGGGTGGGCTCTAGGCTCCTGGGGCGAGTGGGTGAGCTCAGACCAGATCTTTGCGGCTGACTGCCCATGATACAAGGGAAGTGTCATGGTGTCATTTTGCTGATGAGGTGACTGAGGCGCAGAGGTGGTTGTTTGTGATGTGTTATTGCCTAGCAGTGTCAACCAAGCGTGCTGCCTAGACGTTGCCTAGACTAGTGGCTAGAGGTACCAGCCAAGTCAGGGGCCCTGCTGTGTCAGGTTGTGTACAGGAGGCGATCCTTGCCCTGTAGAGATTATAGTCTAAATAGATGACCCACAAAGGCTGGGAGGGGAAGTCGCAGGCAAAGAGCAACTGCCCGAGGTCATGCAGCCTGTCAGTGCTAGAGCTGGAACGAGGACCCAGGACTCTGGGTCCCTGCTGTGTCTGCTGGACCATGCTGCTTTTCCTAGCTATGTTGGGTTTTTTTCCCCCAAGGTAGAAAGTCATATGCCCTGAAGGGGAAGGGGTGGGTGTAACGGGATGCTGCCGCTGGAGGGGGAAGACCTTGCTGCAGTCTGGCTAGTAGTGTTCTAATGACTTCTCTCCCCCCACCCCCTTCCCCTCCTGCCTCAGGTTGACTTTGAGGTAACGATCCCAGGGGAAGGCAAAGACCGGATATTTAAGGTCTCCATCAAGTGGATGGCGATTGTGAGCTGGCGGATGCTCCACGAGGCCTTGGTGAGCGGGCAGATCCCCGTCCCGCTGGAATCTGTCCAGGCGCTAGATGTTGCCATGAGACATCTGGCGTCAATGAGGTAATCTGCTCCCCTGGGTGCTCGGGTTGGGGTGATGTGTCCGGGGCAGGAGCAGCGGAGTCCAGAGGAGAGCTGGCGTCATAACTGAGCGTTCATCAGAGTGGAACTGTGTGTGCTGGAGAGACATTGGGGGTGTTGCCAAGGGGGGCTGAGCTCTCCCAGGTCAGGTCACGTGCAACAGTTACACAAATGGCTTGTGTGTGTGGCAGCGATGAATGCAATTCCCCAGGCACCGGTCTCTCCTGTTCTCTGCCTGGGGCACAGCCCAGCCTGGTCTCCTGTGGGCTGGGATACTTCAGTCTCACTGTGCTTGTTGGGGTTAGCGTGTGGGATTGGTGGCCTGTGCCGTCACTTTGCCTCCAGTGCTGCAAGCCCAGCCCTTGCACCCGAGGGATGGAGGAGTCTGGTGGGTCTGTGTCTAAGATAACTGTCTACTGCTTTACATCCTTGTGCTTCCCCCCTGCTGAGTGAGGGGGAAGATGCTTCGGCTCAACATCGCAGTGCTCGTTCTCTAGGCCCGGCACGGCGATTAGCTAGCCCTCCCCGTAGCCCTGTGAGGAGGCAGGGAAGTTTGGGAGGGCCGGAATTTCCAAACTTGAGTGCCTAGCTTTCCTCAGCAGTCTGCATTTAGCCACCTAACTTCCTGGCTTGACTTGTCTTCTGAGGGGCTGAGCGCCCCCAATCTTGGTGGCTTAGGGAGACTGTAATCTCTGTGGGGCAGGGACCATCCTTTTTGCTCTCTTTGTACAGCGCCTAGCGCAGTGGGGCCCTGGCCCACAACTGGGACTCCTAGGTACTCCCGCGATACAAGGAATGGGACTCTATTTTGGCGCCTCCATATGGATGTAGGTGGCTAAGTTAGAAAGAGTTTTTAAGCCATTCCCTCGGGCGTGCAGGCTGACTTGCAGTCCCTGTTCCCGCCCAGCGGATTGCTGGCATTGCTTTGAATAACATGAGCCTTGTTTCCCTGGTTTGCAGGTACACCCCTGTGGGCCGTTCCTTCTTCTCCCCTCCTGAAGGTTACTACCACCCTCTGGGAGGGGGCAGGGAAGTTTGGTTTGGGTTCCACCAGTCGGTCAGGCCTGCCATGTGGAAGATGATGCTCAACATTGATGGTAACTCCCCTTCAGTGCTGGCAGACTCCAGCTTCACCCACTAATTTGCACCCTCTCTCTCCGACGTGTCCCGCTCAGGCGCGTCAGCACTGCTCGCCCGCCGAAGGGGTGCATCTAAGCAGGGAGCGGCAACGAGTCTCCGAGCCTGGGTCTGCAGGCTCATGGGGCTTGCGCTGTGGTGCCTAAATCAGCCATGCGGGCGTTGCGGCTCGGGCTCTGAAGCCGGGCTGCGGGGTGGGGTTCAGAGTCCGAGCTGCAGCGTCTGTACAGCAGGTTTTAGGGCTGTAGTGCGAACCCAAGTCTGCGGGCTCTGAGACTCTGCCACGGACACAGACGTGTATCCAAGGCACTAGTTACAGGAGTGTCATATTTGCTGATTTCAGTGGGAAGGACTGCGCTGTGAGGGTGGGGATTTCAGAAGGGCTCAGTGCTGGCCTAACTGCACCCATTGAATTGGTGGGAGCTGCCCAGAAGACTTCAGTAGGGGCAGGGCTAGGTGAGGGCCAGTAGGGTGCTAAATGCAGCTTCCAGTCGGACGCTTCATACTGCAGCCAGCAGTGCTGCGATCCTTGTCCAGTGCCGAGGATCTGCACTAGAAGAGGCCAAATCTTTTGACTGTCCCTTTGGGACAAGGGGCAGATTTGTGGGTGTTCAGACACTGCCTAGCACAGTGGGGGCCCCACTCCTGACTGGCGCTGCCCTTCTCACTAGAAGTGACCTACCTCCACAACTCCCTGCTTTGTCCAGTGGATGTGGGGCTGGGTAGGATGACGCAAGGGGGTGGAGGGCCTGATTCTGCTCTCAGGTAGGTCACTAGGAGATTTGTCAAATTGTCTCCCCGAGGCAACTCTGGAAGCCCATTTGCTTGGGACGATAGAAGCTAGACTGACCACAGCAGCCTGGGGGGAATGTGTGCTAGGTTGTGATGACCCAGTGTTGGCTTAGGGCAGGGCCTAAGATGTCCCCTGCAGTTAGGGAGTGTCTAGTACTCTTGAAAGAGAGAGGAAAGATCTCCACGTCTCGCACACTCCTTCCCTGCAGTGTCGGCGACAGCCTTCTACAAAGCCCAGCCTGTGATCGAGTTCATGTGCGAAGTGCTGGATATCCGGAATATCGACGAGCAGCCAAAGCCCCTGACAGACTCGCAGAGGGTGCGCTTCACCAAGGAGATCAAAGGTAAAGAGACAGGGCACTCTGTCGGCAAGGGCGCGCGCAGCAGCTCATGTCCTGTGAGTGGATGGGAGGGTGTTGAGATCCCAGGATACAGAGCAACTTTCTGCTTACCATGGTGAAGACACTGACCTGGGACACAGGAGACCTGGGTTCTAATTCCGGCTCTGCCTCAATCTCTCTGCAAACTTCGGGAAGCCACTTCATCTCTCTTCCCCCCCCCCCATCTGTAAAACAGGGAGGATGATGAAGGTTGTGCAGATGCACTCTTTAACTCTTAGCACCCTGACATCTTCTTCATTGGCAGGCAAAGATAGGCCAAGTCTCCAAAGGATTAATGATTTAATTAAAGCACATGTGGAGTAGACAGGAAGCTGGTCAGTGAAAGGTTTGGTGGAGCTCCTGACATTGATCAGAGATTTGCTCTCTGTCTCTCTTGCATTAGGTTTGAAAGTAGAGGTGACCCACTGTGGGCAGATGAAGAGGAAATACCGAGTGTGTAACGTTACCAGGCGACCAGCCAGTCACCAGACGTAAGTCGGGGGGGAAATGCCCTTGGAAAAATCTGAGCCATTCTCTTAGTTATTTAGCAGCTGCTGGTAGCGTTCGTGAGGTACAAAAGGCAAACTCTAGCATGTGACAGTAAAGGGAGCTCTGGTGTTCAGTTCTCTGCAGATGTGCTGCACAGAGGGACCCGCATGGCTGCATGTAGCATGATATGAATGACGGGAGCAGGATGCAGAGGAGGAGTGGGAGCTGAGAGAAGGCTCTTACGCTGTTAGGAGGCATGCAGCAGAGGGCATGAGTTAACTCGCTGTCAATCTGCCCAGTTTGCATCTCTTTGAATTCGGCTTTGTACTTGGTCAAAAATAGACACTGGAGAACAGAAGGTTTAATCAGGAGGTAAATTAATCCCTTAAATTATTTGCATGTGCCCATAAGCATGCACACAAGTAGAGACGGTTCCTTCCTCAAAGAGCTTTTCTAGGACTCCCCAGCCCAGCTACATTTCCCCAGTAACCTGTAAAATTCACCAGGAGACACTTGCAGAAGTCCACTATTGCTACAGATCTTCAGGTGTCGGAGCTGTGGATTGGGAATTGGCCGTGAATGAGCTGTGGTTGGTCCAGGTCTCCGTGTGTGATGTGTTAAATGGGAATTGTACCAGCCTTTTTTGGTTGCCACTTTCTCCGGGGTGTCCCCTGCTCTGTAGCTAGAGCTGCTCAAAATATTTTTGTTTAAACATTTTGTGATGAAAACGTCAACTGGTTTAGTTGGGTAGATCTTTGTGGTTTTTGAAAACTGAAATCTGCTCACCAAAATGATTTTTTGAAAACCAAAACTTAAAATACATTGGAAACATTGGTGGGAAAAACACTTATTTCACAATTGCCTCTGAAAAATGATTAGCGCTTTTTGGCCAGCCCTTGGTATAGTTCTGATGCCATGGGGCTGCTTCTGAAACTTGTTGGGCTCCCCAGTAAATTGGAAACATCAAAGGTAAATATGTGGGAAGAACAGATCCAAGTGCAGGCAGTGGCTCCTTGAAGGGGTTGGAGTTTGCTCCTCAGGAGATCTCCCCTGTGCCTCCCTTTTAGCTCAAGGAATCCCTTTCTGGACACTTGCCTCCTGCGTTCCTTCTGCACCCGCTGCAGAGCGCGATTCAGAGCGCTTCACTTCCCCAGCACCGAGTGCTTCCAGCTGCCTCCCCCTATTCCTGTAGTATCCTTCATTCCAAGACCCCTTCCAGGGACTTTCACTTGAAATTTTGACCAAGGAAGTCTTAGGCAGTCAGGACTGAAATAATGTGATGTCTCCTCAGGGGCATTTGTAGCTTGTTTGGCTTTCTAATTATGTCCCCACTAAGAATATCGGGGTGACTCTGGGTTCTCCAGAAGCTCTTTATGGAGCTGGGAAACGACTGGTGCGGGTGGAGTTTGCATGTCCGGATTCCTGCCATTGGTTAGGCAGCATCATTTAATTCTGTGCAGTTTAGCAGCACGAGTTAATTCTCCACTGGTTCGGAAGTGTCACATCTCCCCATACCCCTTTAACCCTTCAAGAGCCACTGTCCTGTGGCAAGAAGGGATACACTGGTGACTTTCCTCTTGAGCCCAGCTGTGCTACTGCAGGGGGCAAATGAGCAAATATAAATCCCTGTAGCCATCAATTTGTGTACCCAGCAATATCACGTGCAACGTGTCCTAAAAGGATTTCCCTGATTAGCTTGTGAAATCAGTGCTTGATTTGTGGGCCTCAGAGCAACCCGAGGGTGCAGACTTGCTGTACAGCCACCTCTTTGCTTTCTCTCTCCCCCATTTGTAATTGGGGGGGGGGGAGCGGGGGTTGCCCTGCATGCTCAGGTGCTTTGCCCCCACTATCAGTTCCCTTCGCCCCAAGCCGAAGGGAGAGTGCTCCGGCGTGGGAAGTGAGTAGGGTTTCTTGTTGAAGTAGACGCATCCTGAGCATCTCCCTCACCTGCCAGGTTCCCCCTGCAGCTGGAAAGTGGGCAGACAGTGGAGTGTACAGTGGCTCAGTACTTCAAGCAGAAATACAACCTGCAGCTGAAATACCCCCACCTGCCGTGCCTGCAGGTTGGCCAAGAACAGAAGCACACATATCTGCCCTTGGAGGTGAGTGTCAAGTCACTACTAAACGGGGCTGCCAAGGCCTAAAGTGTTCTCCGAGCCCGCTTGCTCTGTGGCTTCGGGGAGACCAGTTCCGGGTGACTGTCGTTTGGGAGGGGTGGGGAGACTGCGATGTGATCGTCAATCTGCCATCCTTCCCCCTTAGTCCAACCTGGGCTGGACTTGAACTGGTAACCTGGAAGCGAAGGTACCCATCCCTCGGTGCACCGGCTGGCTTGCAGAGATGCACAGTGAGCAGGGAGTGAATGTTTTGCACCACAAAGAAGAGAGAGAACCTGGCCCGTGTCCTAGAGTGTGCAGCCAGAGACCACAGATCTAGTCTGACCTCCTCACCCAGCACCCGCACGCCAAACCCAACCACCACCATTAGACCAGAGCATTACAACCCTCAGGACAGTAAGCTGCCGTGTGCCGCAGGGAGGGGCTGAGGCTAAGGGGAGCCCCCCTGACTGGGTCTAAAGAGAGCTACTTCCAGGAAGCAAGGACGGCAAAGTACCTCGGCAGAGTAGTATTCTTGATACTGCTCCTCCCAGCAGTCTCTCCTGGTGCAGGAACTCTGACCACCCCTGTTGGCAGTAGGGATTGAACCCAGCTCCTCTGATCTCAGTGGCTCTGTTCCATATAGGGCTGGGACAGGCTCATCAACTTCTGTCTGTGGCACAGGCACCACTAGAGAGGGCCAGAGCACCCCATAGAAGGGGGGTATAGGTTACAAGTGCTCAGGACAGCTAACCAGGTGGGTCTTCAAACATTCTTCTGGCTGCTGTCTCCCGCTCTCTGCCATGCCCTGCAGGTGTGTAACATTGTGGCAGGCCAGCGGTGCATCAAGAAGCTAACAGACAATCAGACATCAACCATGATAAAAGCAACGGCGAGATCCGCCCCGGATAGACAAGAGGAAATCAGCCGACTGGTATGTGGCACTTGTTCCTGACCTCTGGGAGGAGGGTTTGGGGGGGAAAGAGGAGCATCCCCCCCCGCCCGAAAAAACCACGTGGGACTCTGAGCCGCATGGAAGCGACTGTCACATAGTGTACGAGTGGCAGAACGGCTGTAGTAAGACAAGCGAGTGAAGCATGAATGGCACACGCAATAGGCCATTTTGCTGTTACTGGGAAGTAGCTATGAGCCATTCAGGAGAGCGTAGTGGGGATAATGATCTGATTAGTCTAATGCCATATTGTACTAGAAGTCCCCTTTCAGAAGCCTATGTATTTATATACAAATAGAAACTCACAAATAAAATCAGCTCCCTCCGTGGCCATGCAAACTCGACGTGCACAGTGCAGGAACCTTGTTATTGGTGGAATCCCAACCCAAAAGAGCTAGAGCGAAAACCAGAATAAAAGACTAGAGAAATAAACCTGACCCCTGAGAGCCCATGGGGCAGGGATCATTAACTGGATCCAGTAGGATTGTCTACCACTAGGAAAACTCGCCAGCCCTTCAGGGGACATGCTACCCATAGCACTCATCTGGCTGCCCGAATGCTCTGCAGTTGTTTGGGGCAGCTCTTGGGGAAAATCAGGGAGCACCAGGAGATTGGAGACCTCTCTTTGCCCAGATGGCAGGTGGTGAGGGGTTGGTGGTTAGTATGTTACTCTAGCATAGGTTTCTGGGCTCCAGAAGCCAGGGACATTTGATTTTTCTACTGGTATACGTAATATGGGTTTCTTGACGCACTGAATCTCTGTTGTGAAGCTCTAATTCTTAGGAACAAACTCTGCTCTCAGCTGCACTGGTATAAACCCAGAGTTAGATCCAATGGAGGGCAGTTTTGAGAGCAGAGTCTGGCCCTTAGTTTTAAAATCCCTGCCATGTCGATGACCAGAGAGAATTAGTATGGCACCTGTTCCCTTCAGCCTGTCCCAGATCCGGATGGCAGTCGTCACCTTCCTGCATCTGACAGTACAGGCGTCTCTGACTAGCAGCCTCAGCTTTGCCCAGTCTGCTCTTAATGGGTCAGTTTGGTCATTGCCCAGGGCTGCAAACCAGCTCTGAGCTACTGCTCAAAGGTTTCATACCACCACTGCTTTGCCCATACGCTGGCCAAGGAGCCCACACCATTTACCCAGCAGTATAAGGAACTGAAGTGGTATCTTTCCCCCAGATGAAGAATGCCAGTTACAACCTGGATCCGTACATACAGGAGTTTGGGATAAAGGTGAAGGACGACATGACGGAAGTGACGGGAAGGGTCCTTCCAGCACCAATCTTACAGTACGGAGGCCGGGTAAGCCGGAGCGTGTCATCACTTGGACACCTGTCTGTTTTCATGCCAAAGGGGAAGTCATTACGTTGCAATCTGGGGCTTGGGAAGTTCAACAGCCTGCGGTTCTCTGCCCAAAACAGAACAGAACCGAGTGTTCAGTTTGTGCCTGAAGGCTGGGATTTCTACAGGAGTCTTGGGGGATTAAGTAATAAATCCCTTTGATAGTCCCAGCCTCCATCATCTAAAGAGAGGACCCCTGTTTAAGGGGGACAGAGAATTTCTTGCAACTGGGATATTTAAGAGGTGCAGATTGGATCTGCAGTTTTCTTCTCTATTAACTTCCTTTGGAATAGAGTATTTCCTTCACTGGGCATTAATGCTGCTTTATCCGGGCTGAGTGGGGCCCCGTGGCATGGAGGGGCACGTGGGGCTGGATGGCCCAGCAGGTGGATTCTTTGGCCTTTCACCTCTGCAGATCTTGGTTCAAATCTGACATTTATTTTTTGCCCTGTTGGTCTCCCAAACCCATTTCACGTGGGCCCCTGGGACCAATACCGAGACCACCAAATCTGTATCACATGGGGCCACTCAGCAGTCAGATGGGAACAGCTCTGGAGCACGACCAGCCCAGGTTGGGTTAGAACCGGTCATCTGAAGAGTGAAGATTCTGTAGCTCGATACCAAGCCCCGGAGCAGCACGTTTAAACCCCAAAGCCGGTGAAGAAGTGGGGGTCTGAGGGATTTCTGCAGTTAGATTGTTGTCCTGCATCCAAGGAAGGTAGCGGAGTGGGGGTGGGGGGCAGAAAACAACCCTTGCAATGTGACTGCACGGATCATTTTATCGAGGTACGTTCCTGGCCCTCATAGCTGTGGTATCTGGGAGCCCCTTCCATTACGCTGCAGATGACCTTGTTCTCGCTCTCTTCCCCAGTTTGATCTCCCACGTAAAAAGGGGTTTTTAGCAAGGAAATTGCTGGGCCGGTTGGACTCTGTGGGGTGACCTGTGTCCGATTGCTTGCCTTGCAGAACCGGGCCATCGCCACTCCCAACCAGGGCGTGTGGGACATGCGGGGGAAACAGTTCTACAACGGGATCGAGATCAAAGTCTGGGCTATCGCCTGCTTTGCCCCCCAGAAGCAGTGTCGAGAGGAGGTGCTGAAGTAAGGAGCTGGGCAGCCTGCGGTAGGGGCTGGGGGAAGAGCAGGGGCATGGAGTGTGAGTGTCCCCTACTGAAACATCTGCTTGGCTTTTTTAAACAGCAGCTTTGTGTAAAGAGCTGGAAGCTCTTTTAAATGTAATGTTCTCCACTGACACCCCCTCAGAGGCCTGGAAATGTACCACGTTTGTCACCCTCTGCCTGGCAAACATGAGTTTATTTCCTCCGTTTCAGATTTACGCTGGAATTTAATATAGAGTCTTGGTTTCCTTTATTAGATCTGCACCCTCCCACATCTCAGACTCTGATTCTGGTTCCCACGAGCTCCCTCTGCTGTCTCCACCCACGCATAACACTAAACATGGTTTGTCTGCTCTGTGCCCTACAGAGGAAGAGGCTAAGGTGGCTGCTTCTGGCTTTCTCTTCAAATGGGAGAAGCAAACTTACATTTAAAAGGCAGAGAACTTTCCCTACTGCTCGTAAAGGTGTTTAACCCTTTGGTGCTTCTTGGAAGAGTATGTGTCTCATGCATGGCTACTCTGGCAATGCGCCGTCCCCCAGCACTGCTGGTGTATTATGGAGCAGTCGGATGGCTCGAACAGCCTAGCCATTGACCGACAGCCACTTAGCTCTTGTCCTTGGGTAAGGCTTTTATGCATGAACCTGGGTTCTGACCTCCGTTAAACAAAGGAGAGAGGCTGCTGGGTGTCTGGAAATGTTACCCCTGACTTTGGATCTCAAACTCCCAGCAAACCCACAGATGAATCAAATCCGCGCCTGGGTGTTGTTCCTCCCATTCCCCCTGCGTACTTGCCTCTGGCCTCACTTGCCCTTAAACTCCTTGCACTGTTTCGCCACTTGGCTACTTGAGTTGCAGCTAGTCAAAGGGAAGTTCTGTCTTTTGTGACCTCTCTAAAGAGCAGGTTGAAGAGTAGCCATGCTGAGCTGGCACTCCGGGCTTTTGGGTGTGCCCGCTTCAAACTGAAAACATCTAAAGCCACTGGATGAGCTGATCACATGCAGAACGCTAACTTCTCCCAAGTTTGGCAACACGTGAATGAGTCACATCAGCGCTCCCAAAACTATGGAAACCCACCAGCCTGCAAGGCAAATCTGCTCGCCCCCACTTTCCTGTCATATGAATAAAAGCTGCTTGTAACTTGTTCACCGTCAAAATAAATTCCTCGTAGCGTGGGCAAGGAGATCTTTGCCAGGCTGGATCCGCTCAGCTGTTACACATGTCAGTCGTTCTGTGCTTGGCCAAAAGGCATGTTGAATTAGGGCTGGGGGTGACTCCCTTTTTCCATTCTTCTTGGGATCGGTCAGGCTGTGGTGTCACGGTATCCTGCTAAGTGGTGGGAATGGAATGGGCGCCTTTCTTGTTCCATGCTGCACACACCAGCTCAGTACTCCGCGTTTAGGAGAAACCACACGTGCACAGGAACTGACTTCTCCTTTCCCTCCCGGCACAGGAACTTCACAGACCAGCTGCGCAAGATTTCGAAGGATGCAGGGATGCCCATCCAAGGCCAGCCATGTTTCTGTAAATACGCACAGGGTGCGGACAGCGTGGAGCCGATGTTCCGACACCTTAAAAACACCTACTCCGGGCTCCAGCTCATCATCGTCATCTTGCCAGGGAAAACACCTGTGTATGGTACATCCATGTGGGGAGGGCTGTCATAGAAATTCTTTAGTCTCTTGTGTCAGCTGCTCCGCCCAGAAACCATCCGCTCCTGATTTGAGAACTGATCTTGCAGGCTGTTGATTCCATCTTGTGCTCTGGAGCCAGGATGAGGGGAGATCCATGCCAATGTTGGTTAGAAATGTTTCATGCTAAAAAGAGAAGGATTTCGATGAAAGCAGCTTCTTGTGGGATTGGGACATCCCCTCAGCAGCGTTTGTATCCCAGCCGTGTCTGCGTGTTAGCCATTGGGATGTGACTGATTTAGGAGCATGCGGATTCTCCCTCATTTGACGTTTTTACATCCCAAATTAATGTCTTTGTAAACGAGGTGCAGTAGCTCCACCAGAAGTTATGGGCTCAATGCCGAAATCACTGGGTGGGGATCTCTGGCCTGTGCCATGCAGGAGGTCAGACCAGAGGTTCATAATGGGTCATTCTGGCCTTAGACTCCATGAATAAGCATGGGATTCAGGAGTGCAGTAACGGCTGAACTGCAGGTGGCGATGAAATGGTGCAAAGCATCTGGGATTGTTAAGAGCCGCCTGGGAACACGGGTAAAGAGAGCTGTTGTTAGAACAGCCTTGAATCTGTGTCCCGTCTTCCCACTCAGTGCAAAGCCTGCCGTGTAGAGCGTGTGGTGCTGGTAAGGCTTAAAGGGTCTGTGGGCGTTGGTGCTGTACAGGCATTAAGTCTCTCAGCTTAACGCTGCGGTAGGGAAGAGTTATCCCTGCTCTGCAGATGGGCCCACTGAGGCGCAGTGGTGAAGTGACTTGCTCAAGGTCTCTCTGTCTGAACTGGGAGTAGAACCCAGGAGTCCTGACTCACGGCCCCTGCTCTCCCTGTAAACGCATATACTTCTTTCCGAACTGTGGGATTAACACTCTACCTCTCTGCTGGCAGCGGAGGTGAAGCGTGTTGGAGACACACTCCTGGGGATGGCCACGCAGTGCGTTCAGGTCAAGAATGTGGTGAAAACCTCCCCGCAAACCCTCTCCAACCTCTGCCTCAAAATCAACGTCAAACTGGGCGGGATCAACAACATCCTCGTGCCTCACCAGCGGTACGTACGAGTCCCCTGCCCGCCTTGGGCCCCCAGCCGCAGTGGGATGGGCTTGTCCCCCAGACCCTCCACATCCTCCCTTCCCCTTTATCCCTGTGGGCTCTTTCCCTCTTAGAGGACCTTCTCGCAGCCTTTCTGCCCTGGTGAAGAGGTCAGGAGGGGAGCTGCTGCTGGAGAGGAATGTAGGGCTTTCCTCCCTCTTGTTTCCCAGCACGCTGCTTCCGTTCTGCTCCTTTGGGGCTGGGCTCAAGGGACCGAACCAGGGTCCCCAGCAGAGCCTGCTGTGCCAGCCTCTCTCTGTCTGGCCTTACCAGTAGGAGAGCTTGGCAAGCGGCTGTTAAAATCCCCTGTCCTGACTCTGGGGATTGGGGGGGATGAAATACAGCCCAGGTGCTGCCTTGTACATGAACCTGGAAACTGAGTCAGCTGCAGAAATGGCCATGGAGACTCCCCCTCCCCCATCGCTAGAGTCACTAGGCAAGTTACCAGCCCCGATCGAACCATGTCAAAAGGGCACTGGAACAGATCTGGCCTCAAAATAAACCTTTCCCGCCCCAGAACGAACTCCTCCCTTCCTATCCCCGAGGGAAAAGACAAGTCTTGCAGTGTATCCTGAAGGTCACTGAATGTAGGCTCCAAATTGAGACAAGGAAATGAATTGCGAAGCGGGAAGCCCCTCCTTGAGAATGCTCTGCCCCCACTCCTCCCCTGCGAGACACAGCTCTGTGCTGCTGCATAGGCCACTAGCTAGGCCGTGGCCACCAGTCTAATCTCATAAGAGTCAAAAGGAGAGAACTTTGAAGCCATGTTCTATGTGAATAAAGAGTCCCCACTCTGCAACAGAGGCCGCTTGTGCAGCTGGTGAAGAAAGTTAGTACAGGGTCTGTTCTGAAAAGGAATCCCCAGGCCCGGCAGATCCTGGGTCTGTATTTTCCTCTTTGTCACGAAGATTAATGACTCAGACTAAAGCCCCAGTTATGCAAAGACATAAGCAGATATGTCACGTCATACGTGTGAAACACATGCTTAACTTTACCCAGTGTGTCAAGCTAACCACATGCCGAAGTGTTTGCAGGATTGGGGCCTCAATGTTTGGTTTGGGTATGTCACGGTATTTCCTGTTAATTTGCCTTCACTCACCAGTGAGGTCTGGTGTGAAGATGCCTCTAAACCCAAACAGCTTAGAAATGTGGCTGATTTGTGACACTTTGGGGGGGCTGATGCACCAAGCCAGGGTAGAGAGAGCCTGCAATGCCATGAGCAAAGATCGGGGCAAACCACAGGAAAAGGCAGCGGTTGAGACCTTTTCAGACTAATTCGTCCTGCCTAGACTGGAGGCCAGAGAGGAGTTTCCTCACTGCACTCTCCTTCTAACTCAGTGGCTGCGAATGTGACTAACCCCAGCGCGGTCTGTGACTCTGACTGGAATAGCTACAAACCTTTCCATTGTCTCTTCTCTCCAATTAGCTCGGCCGTCTTTCAGCAGCCAGTGATCTTCCTGGGTGCCGATGTCACTCACCCACCAGCAGGGGATGGGAAGAAGCCTTCCATAACGGCTGTAAGTTGGGAAGTAGCGCTGCGTCTGGAGCTGCCGCTCTGGTGCCCTTGGGGGAGGGCTGGCATCAGCAGGAAGCCGCAGCGGTGCGCTTCGGCTGGACCCTTCGTGCCGTCCAGCCAGAGCCGTCTTGCCTAAAATCGTTTAGGCCCGTAGGCAGAGGCCAGGCTTGTCTCTGATCCCTGTGAATGTCACAGCTTTGGTGGTGGCGGTGTTGAAATGTGTTGAGTCCCGGGGGGGATCTGTGTGGAATTCCTGAGCAAGTGACTGGCCACGCCCGACCCCATGGGGATGAATCCAAGGTTTGGTACCTGGCCGTGGGATTCTCCAGGGTGTTGCTATGCTATGCACATGGAGCTGCTTGGGGGGGTCTCGCTGCCCGGCTAGAACTCAGCCCCTCTTCAGGGGCTCGAACTAGGGGTGCTGGGTGTGTGGCAGCACCTCTGGGTTGAAGTAACAATAGCACCCAAAAGCATTACAGTTGGGTTCAATGGCCTTCAGCCCTCTCCCTGCCCCGCCACTGCCAACGTTGTTCTAGCATTCCTGCCCCCGGGCCTCTGACTCTTGCTGCCTGAGCTCCAGGGGATCCCATCTGACTGAGCTCCCAGCCTGGGGCAGAGGCAAATGAGCTCTGACGGCCACCAGCAGCTGCGGGCCTGTGTGCCGAGTGCTGCTGGGGTGAGCAGTGCTGAACCGACCGCCCCAGGGAAGACGCTTCACCCACATGCTGATATGGAGCAGGGCTGCTGCTAGGTGCTAGCGGGGAGCACAGTCCCACCATCCCTGGCCAGTGCTTGGCCTCCTGCCAACGAGGGGGGTGGGCGAGTGCTGGTCGGGGTGGGTTTGGGACTCCGACCCTGGCCCCAGACCTCCCCGGTCATTTCACAGGCAACCAGCTGGTTAACAGTTTGGGCTCGGTACCCCCCTGAGCTGGGTGTGAACTAAAGGTCAGTGCATCCTGCTGACCCTGTGACACATCAGTCTGGGCTCTGCGGTTCCCTCCAGGGTTGGGCTGGAAGAATCGATCCGATCTTCCAGAGACCTGCTCGCTTGCTGCACTAGCTCTCTGGGGATGTCCAAAGGTGGCTTTTCATCCAGGGTAATGAGTCCATCCGTGTTCAGAGCAGTCCCCCTATCCCACTTTCCCATGCAGAATGTCAGCGGGGCAGAGACGCTCCGTGTATCAGCTCTTCAGGGCGGGGAGCTTGTCCCGTTGACTTAGTTGTCCATGAAGGGCCCAGTGCATTAACTGTACTAACAAAGGGAAGAGACGCCCTTCTACTGAATCACCAGCCCCACTTCATTTTGCCCCTGGGCTTGCCTTGCAGATCTACTGCTCGAGTACAAGCAGGGCTTAACTTATCCGGCAGGAGAAGTGAATTTCAGTCGCAGCAAGCCAGGAAGATATGGCCTATGCAAGAGAAGCAGAGCCCTCTTTTCTACCACCTGCTGAGGAGTCAGCGGTATTTAATAAAGTGCCAGGAGTGTGGCTTGACCTTGAGCAAGACCTGAAGGAAGGCACCCTCCCTGCCACGCTAGTCACCCCTGGTAGCCGAGGCAGCCAGGGCTGGCATGGTACGAAGGGAAAATGAAACAATCTGACAGTACAGCTTGCCCCTTTCTCAGGATTGTAACATAATGCCCACCCAGTGTTTGTTCCAGCCGAGGTAGCTGTGGGGTTCGCGCAGCGCTCTTTATAACGGAGCATGTCCGGGTGTTCTTCATAAACCCTTTGCCCTCCAGGATTCAGAGCTCAGGTTTTCCTTGGCATGTGAAATCATCTTTGGGAGTCTTCCTTCCTTCTTAATTAGGAGGAGGCAGGGCAACAAATGCTTTTGGCCGTTTCTTCGCACTCGTAGGCAGGACATGGAAGAGTAGAAAAGAAATATAAGAAATCACTCTGGATGTAGGGCATGGCAGTCAGTCCGGTTGTTTCTAACAGTCTTACCTTATCCTACAAGCCCATGGTATCTGGTCACTTTTGCTAGGTTTATAGTAATAGTAGTTCAAATACCCTGGCAAGGTAGATTATTATGCCCATTTTAAAGATTTCTCTCGGATAGAATCAGGTGTGTTCCGTGTGTAGGGTACCTGAGTGTCTTGATATCCAGGTTTCCAGAGGAAGTACACGTAGTCCAGGGAGGTTGAAATTTGTCCAGTGCCATCGAAGGAGCTGGTGGGAGAGCTGAGTGTAGATCCCCAAGTCCTGACACTCCTCGGCTCCTGCTCCTGACTGCTAGAGGAGGCACTTGGACACAGCACTGGATGTATTCAGTGTAGAGAATGGTGCCAATCCATTTGGTGTAGACGCCCTTGACTTAACTGAAAAACATATCCTGCCTTCAAGCTCCTTTCCCATCAAATAATTCCCTACTCCTGCGCTTGCAGTTCCCTCCCAGCCTGGGGGACAGCGGGGGATATGATCCCTGAATTGGATTCAGTCTGTTTCAGCTGGATGTGCTGGGTTGGGGGCGTGAATCCCAAATCATGCTATAGTATAGCAATGAACCTCTATATCCAGTAGTGGCCTCTTGGCACTGGCTACCTTCGGGTCTGTCTGAGCCCGAGGCTGGAAGTGTAATTTCCCGGTCAGGGCGACATACCCACGCTAGCTCTGATGGGGCTAATGTGCCAAAAAGAGCAGCAGAGCCACAAAGGGGGAAGTGCCAGGATGGGGGCTAGCCACCCTGAGTAGGATCCCGTCTGCCAGCATCGGTACGTACTCGGGTGGCTCTTCGCGCCTCCATGGCTGTGCATCTTTTAGTCCGCTAGGTTGATCAGAGCTAGCGCGGGTGCGTCTTCTCCAGCTGTGTGTTGCACCTCCAGCTGATGGATGCTGCTGATCCCTACCCAAGTGCCGCAGCCTCAAAGCCTTTGGAAAGAGGGTCAGTAGCTCTTCGGGTAAGAAGTCTTGACGTGGAAGTTGCTCCCTCATGATAGGGAGAGAGAATCGTTCCAGTATCACTGGCGAGGCGGCCTCCCCCGCGTCCCTTTCCTGGACTCCAGGGCAGCTTTGTTCTCTAGTTACAAACTCCTCTCCAGTGACTCACGCCGTTCTCAGGGCTGCGTCACTGTCGAGTGCGGCTGCTCTTGGCCTTCCTGCCCCTGACATTTTCAAGGTCTCCTTTTCAGAGCCTGTTCTTGCTGAATCCCCTGCCACTCCCGCAGGAACCCCAGGCCAGGACTGCTGCCTAGCAACTGGGAGAAGTGAAGGGTGACTCAGACCCACGTCACTTCCTTAGGAACCAGAAGAACAGCAAGTAGCGCAGGCAGATTTTGCTGGCTCTCTGAGATGCTCTGTAGTTCCGAGCTTGCGTGGGTGCATCAGGGACCGTTCGCCGAGGGTTAGCAGAGTCCAAGGGCCTGCAGATGCCTTTTAAAAATGTTTGTCCAGCTAAGAGTTGGTTATTGGGCAGAAATGCTTCCTTTGCTCATTCCTGGACAGCTCAGAATGCTGCTCAGATGCCATGGTGATGGGCCTGGGATAAGAACCTAACTAGAATAGCGCTCTCAGGTGGTCATTAAACAGGGATTGGAATGTAGCCTGATGCTGCAGCAGCAGCATTTCAAGAGAGAGCCTGGGTCTGTCTCTCTGGAAATCATTGTCCCCTGGCCCAACAACATGATGTGCAGCTGCTGCTCTCGGCGGGTTTCAAAGCACTTTACAAAAGCGGGGAAGTGTCCTTGCCTCCGTTCAGAGGGGGGCAGGTTTGTTACAGCACATGGAAATGGGCAACTCTGCCCGACTCAGCACATGTCCTCTTTACGCTTGGCCCAGTAAGGGAGGGTGAGGAAGGCTACCCAGGGAAGAGATGATGGTTACTGCGGGAAGATCCCGAGTTCCTCAGACTAGGCATCTGCAGGTCTTGATGGTTCTGCAGAGGGTTTTTTTGTTGCATTGATTTAAACAGGGAACAAGAGGGTGAAAACAGTAACTTCACTTGTGGAGGGCAATGTGGAACACACAGTCCATGCTGCTCCTCTCCCTTATTTATATTAATGCAGCAAGTGAACCCTTCACCTGCACATGCCTAGCAAGGATCTGTGAACTTCTTTTCCTGGGAGTGGCATGTTCTACTTGCTATCTTGTCTCCCAGTCCCGTGTTCAGTCCAGCCAGCCTTGATGTCTCTCGGAAGAACGCTTTGCAGCCTTGGCTCCATGGTGGGAAGGAGGGAGGCAGCAGTGATCTGAGGTCCCAGTACTGACATGTGGACCAGCATCGTGGATCCATGGCTGTTGGTTGTTGGAAGTGGTTCCTTTTGGATATAGGTTCTCTGTACACTCCTTCTATCCCTGAGCTCCAGGAGTGGGGGATGGTGCTCTGACCAAGGGGACTTGGTCATGGGCATCCCTACTAAAGCAGCATGACAAGCCAGGCGTGTCCTTCCCCCTCTCCCTTTTCATTGTAATGGCTCACCACGGCCCATCTGCTTTGTCACTGCAGGTTGTGGGCAGCATGGATGCCCACCCGAGCCGTTACTGTGCCACGGTACGAGTCCAGCGCCCTCGGCAGGAGATCATTGAGGACCTGTCCTACATGGTGAGGGAGCTGCTCATCCAGTTCTACAAGTCCACCCGCTTCAAACCCACCAGGATCATCTTCTACCGGGACGGGGTTCCAGAGGGGCAGCTCCCGCAGGTAAGGAACCCGTCAGCGGGGCTGCTTGCTGCTTGCGCTGCAGTTAAGCTGGGGTGCCTTGCACGTGCTCCCCTGTGGATTTGCTGGTGCTCACTCAGAGGAGGAGCTCCAGACGTACCTCATTCAGAGTTCACAGCCCAGGGTTAGTTTTTTGTTACGTGCACAATATTCTTTTTGTCTGTGTGGAAGGGCAGAGCGAACGCACTGGCTAGAGCTGGGCAAGGTCTGCCTGGGCACCTCTGCCAGCTCTCCACAATCGTCACTGGAGTAGCCTCTGACGCTTGGCGTGCTGGACATCTGTCAGTCTCTGCTCAGACACAGAGCGGCGGGATTGTTTTGCAGAGCAGAACAGACAGGCTGGGATGAAGTCATTGTATTGGCTTTGGCCTGTCACCCGAGGCTAGATTTGAACTTGGGTCTCTAGAAGTGAAGAGCTCGAGTGCGTGGCTGCTGTCACCTACTCTGCATAGAGAAGTGCCCAGAGACTGATGGTGCCTCCTTGTTTTTCAGTGTCCGCAGCGCACTCTCCTCCTTGAGGAGTCACAGCTGCCAGAAGGGCAGGGATCAGTGCCTCTCTCACCTCTCCCCACCCCCAAATCATTGTCTAAAGCAGCATTTCTCCCACTTTTTGCTACCACGGTCCAGCTTGCTGCGTCCCTAACCTGTGTCAGGGAGATCTTGGGGACTGGTGCTGGCCCAAAGACCAGCCATTGAGAAACACTGGTCTAAAGGCAACAAATCTCACTGAGTGCACTGGGGATCTGAGGCAGCCTCCTGCGTTTGCGGGCAGAGCTGCTGAAGAGGGAGCTCTGGTTTCCCTGCTATGGTTGCTGAATTACACTGGAAAGAAGTCTAGAGAAGTAGTTTGAAAAAATGAGACTTGCAGTTGTCTAGTTGCCAACAGTCCTAGTTACATGTTTGCTGACAGGAGGGGAAATGATCCCAACATATGAGCTGGGACTTTTTAACCTCTGTCCTTGTGCATGAGATCTATGCACTGAGCTCCTTACTTGTTTCAGTGCCGTTGGCTGTAAGGGCGGCACGGTGCCAAGCTTGGGTTAGAGAAGGCTGGTGCCGGGGAGGCTGGGCTGATCATCTACAGTAAAGGAGCTGCCCCTTGGCAAACTAGCTGCTGTCTTGCCGGCACTGCCACGTAAAGGGGCGGGGGTCCCTGTGTTGGCTCTGCCCAAACAGTGGAGGGGGAAGAGCTGTGTGTTCACTCATTCTATACATGGTCTCCTCTAGATTCTTCATTATGAGCTGCTGGCAATCCGAGACGCCTGCATCAAACTGGAGAAGGATTATCAGCCCGGCATCACATACATAGTTGTCCAGAAACGGCACCACACCCGCCTCTTCTGTGCGGATAAGAACGAAAGGGTGAGGATGGCGAGGCTGGGGGTGGGGAGGTAGTCTTAGGGGTGGGGAATGATTGATTAGTCGCCAGCCCTGTTGAAGGGAACCGGCCTAACCTTGCGTGGAAAGCGTAGCGTTAACCAGCGGAGCAGTCCTCACAGGAGATCCTACAACCCTAACCCTGGCTCCAGTGGCAAAGCCTTTTGTGCTGGCTTGAGAGGCCGGGCACAGTTCACTTGCATTCCGTGTTCCCCGGAGGTGAGTCTCTAGGGATGCTATTTAAAAAGCAAGTGTCAGATTGAAAATATTTTTCCGCATTTCATCACTTGAGGGGTTAAAATCGCTCCGAGGGTTAAGATGGAGGGACTGTGAAAACATGTTTGATCCCTGCTGTTCTCAGTGTGCAAGCAGCAAGATGCAAAAAGCTGGACTCCTCCGTTTCTCTTCCTGGCTCTCGTTCCCTGGTGCTGGCTGCAGTGATGGGGTTCTGAACAATGCGGGGGGAGGGGGGGTTCAGAGGGAAGAGGTTAACTTAAACAAATCAGGGTAACCCTCCTATTGCTAGTAGGGTTCCTAAGTGAAACCTACATTTGGAGCCAAACCTAAGCTGGCAGTGGGCCCATCAGAGGGAAGATATGGGAAAGGGAGGCTTTTGTTGCCCTTGGCATAGGAAGGAGTGTGGGTGCATGACAGAGGCGCCTGGGGATGGGGCGATTGAAGCTCTCTGCGGAGCCCCTAGAATTTTTGCCCACTGGAAGTCCATTTCTGCAGTAGGAAAGTGCAAACACTGGGGCACTTCTTCCCCCTCTGCTTCCATCTCGTCACCCCTTGCACTGTCCTCCGGTGTGCAGAGAGCACTAGCAAGCCTGCCACCCTCACTGCTCCCTGTGCAGAGGGCCTGATTTCCTCCCATTTCCCACCTGTCAGCAGCTCTGCAGAGCCCTGTTCTGTAACTGGGTGATGGGCGAGTGCCAAGGGCCCCTACAGGGTGGAGCTGCTATGGCAGAAACCTGCCGTTGCGGACTCGTGGAGAGCAATGGTCCCCGGCTCTCGCTGAGATGAGTGGTCACACTGGGCACCTGCCAGGCATGAAGCTGTTTAACTTTGCGCATAGGGCTCAGGGGAGTATAAATCTGACAGACCTGGAGGGGGCGGGGTGTATGGGACAGACCCGGGGCTGTGCCGCCACAGGTAACCAGAGGATACAGTGCTTGGGTCTTGGTTCAATCTCTGCAGATTGGCAAGAGCGGGAACATCCCGGCTGGAACAACTGTGGATACGAACATCACCCACCCGTTCGAGTTTGACTTCTACCTGTGCAGTCATGCAGGCATTCAGGTACCGCGTCCCACGCCCGAGCGAGGCAACACCATCCGGGGCTTCCTTCTCTCAGGGCCTGAGAGGTTGTTTGCTGGCTGCCCAGCACCCTTAGCAGATCAGCTACAGTCTCCTTGCCTTGTCTAGTCCTCCTCATTAAAGATCCCAACCTCCCTTTCCCCAGCAATGGCCATTAACGCTAGGGTCCTGGCCAGATTCCAGTGGGGAGAAATCTGTTGGTCTCTGCCCCTGTGGCTTCAACTGGATGCAGTGTGTGTGTGTGGGTGGGGGGGTGTTCTGTTCTCTCCCCAGTTGCTGAGCAGGGTTGCTGTGGGATATTTCTGCAGAGGGGAGAAGGTCCTTGCCCATCTCAGGGGAGACTTGCTTCATATTTCTGTCCATAGAGGCTACCTGTCCTGGGCAGCAAAGGGTACTCGGTTCTTAACTGCTCAGCTTGTCGATCTTGGCCTTTGGGATTTCAGTTTATCCACGGGGGCAGAATACTGTGTAGCGGCTGGTTTGCAGTAACCTGCAGCTTCTAGTTCTCCTCTTCCTAGGATGTCCTGGGAAACAGTCAGCCCAAAGTGTCAGCCCCGCTGAAAACGCCTCCGCTGGGTTTCTGTGCTTCCCAGGCTCACTTGGGTTCTCTGGCTCTGAATTCCCGCTGATGCTCCTAATTGTCAGGGGGGACCTGGACACCAGTCCTTGCCTGGACTCTGGGCAGGGAAAGCGCCATTCCAGCAGCTGCCGAGGCAGAGGGAGTCTGCTCTGCAGCTGTTTTTAAGGGGCCATGAATAGTCTGATGTTGCGTTGGCAGCTGAGAGCGCTACAGGCGGCAGGAACTCCGCCGGTGCATACAGCTGCTTCCACAGGGGAGGCTTTTTGGGCTTCCTTTCTCTCACTCCGAGGACAGGAGGCTTCTGGCTACTGAGGAGCTGGGGGAGTCACTGGCCCAACACACGAGGCTACAGCTGCCATTGCGAAGGGTCAGGAGTTTATTCCAGCCTGGGCACCACGGCAATGACTTGCCACAGATGCACTGGCTCTGGGGGGGAGGGGATGCGCTGGCCAGCTGCAGTCAGTGCTTCGCGTTGAGCTTCGTTCACCCAGCGATCGCCAAGCACTTCACTGCCTCTCAAGACCTCGACTCTCCGGCCCGTGAGTCGGGAAGCAGATATTGCAGATGAGGCTGAACTTAAGCCGCAGAGGGTGAACTGCCTTGTTCCAGACCCTGGCGGTCTCGGGGATAGAACACAGGCGCCCCGACTCCCCTTGGCTTGATCCAGCGCCTAGACTGCGTCGCGTTCTCGTCTGTGTGTAATCTTGCTAAAGAAGCTCTGCCAGGCCTGTAAAGAGAGCGCTGATACGGGGGCATCTGTTTCCCCAGCTGGTTTGTCAGCTCTGCAGCTTGTTCCCATGCAAAAAGCCTCTTTCAGTGCAGCCCTTGGATCTGTCTCTCCTGCTCAGACTGTTGGCCAGGTTCCCAGGTAGATCAGGTGGGTGGGAGGGCCCGTGTACTTCCTTTCAGCCGCCCACCTCTGGCTCTGATCACGAGACGCGCTCAGACGGTATCACCAACTCCTCCTCCCTCCTCCTTCCCAGGGTACGAGCAGACCTTCCCATTACTACGTCCTCTGGGACGACAACCGGTTTACAGCAGATGAGCTGCAGATCCTTACGTACCAGCTCTGCCACACCTACGTGCGCTGCACCCGCTCCGTCTCCATCCCAGCACCAGCATATTATGCCAGATTGGTGGCATTCAGGGCGCGTTATCACCTAGTGGACAAAGAGCATGACAGGTAAGTGGTGCCGTTGCACAGAGACGCTCACGGGCTGTATGGCACCACCTTAGCCGTCAGATGGCCTCTAGAGGACCCCTCCAGGGTAGGCAGTGTGGGGAGGGGCCGGAGAAGAGGGCAGTGGTCATAGGTTCAGGCCCGCACTAGGACAGGCAGCCTGCTGGTCTTTGGGTCTCGGCACGTGTAGACTGGGGCGGTACTGGTTTTGCTCTGCAGCAGACCTAGGGGGCACAGAGCTCTCAGCCCCAGGACAGGGGATGCTAAAATGGCTTTAAGTCTTCCTTTGCGCCATGCTGATCCTCAGCTGCTCTGAGGGAGGGAGTGGCTGCCAGCCGAATCGAGACAGCCCTGTCAGAGTTACATCAGCCTTCCTGCTCTGCCCTGGGGGCTTCCGTGCTGCATGCGGTGGGCCCGCCCCTTGACACACCCTACAAAGGGGCTTGTTGAGGGGGGTTCTCAGAAGACAGGTACCTGTGCTAGGGGAATCCCTCCACCAGCTGGAGCCAGAACTTTTAGCTCCTTCACCGCTTTGGCCCTTCTACCCAGTGTAAATGGGCAGAAGAGCACGTTTCTGGGCCCTGACCCCAGGGACAGAGTCCAGCCCTTTCCACTGTGGGATAGGAAATCTCTAGTTCTCCTGCATGGTGATGCATGACTGGGGATCCAGGACTCTCTATTGATACGCAGCTGGTGAGCTGTGACCAATGCTTGACGCTGATCTTAGCCGCCTGAGTTACCTTGTGCTCCCCCAGCCCACCGCTCGCTATAGCTGCCGACTCTGGTCACTTACTGACACTCTGAGCCCTCTAGGACAAGGAGGGCTTTCTCTTCCTTAGGGGCCTATAGCACCTAGCACACTGGGCCCTGATCCTTGACGGGCTCTCGACGCTCCCACAGTGCACACGCTAAATGATCCAATTGTGTGTTTTGCCCTTTCAGCGGAGAGGGCAGCCATATATCTGGACAGAGCAACGGCAGAGACCCGCAGGCGCTGGCAAAGGCTGTGCAAGTTCATCAGGACACTTTACGTACCATGTACTTTGCTTGAAAGCCTAACTTTTCTTACCTCACTCAAGAAAGCTTTCAGATTTGTAGGAGCCATACAAAAAAGGAAGCATTGAGACACCTTGTTTGTTCCAATGAGAATCACTCCAGGGCAGGCAGCGTCGCTTGAGGCAGGAGACCAACACCATGTGCAGAAGGAGAGAGACCAGACACCTTCGTAGTACGGGAAGAGACTGATTATTTTTCTGGTTTTGCAAATCTTCACCTGACCAAACCAATGAAGGTGTTTAAAGAAGGGATAAAACGGAAAGAAGCAGGTTTTCATTTTAAAATGCAATACACTATCGACTTCCGACTGCAAAACAAAGGAATTGGTCCTCCATTGCCAAACAGATGCTGGTTGGTATTTTGGGGGTGGGGTGGGGGGATTTTTAGAGCCTTAAACAGAAGACTAGATTTATAAACTAATATTTTAGGATACAAGATGCTTTAATGGGTTAAGGAAAGAAACTAGTTTATAGAAAAATTCTAACACTAACATTTCCCCCCATGTAATGTAAGGCACCCTAGCACTTAGCTCAGAACTGATGAAATCTGTCTTCCTTATGTTAAAAGCTAGTTAGCTGCTGCCATTTGAAGCAACAGTCACAGACTTTTCCTTGGGTGAGTGCCTTACTACGATGCTGCAAAATTTCAACGTTTTTATCTTGTAAGGAAAAAAATATAGGAATCTTGTCTTGGTGGTGGTCCAGATTTCCATCCGAAGGAGTTGATTTTATATTCATAAAGTTACAGTTGGTGTTAGATCACAACCTCACAATGGTTAAACTCCATTGAAAGACGTGCACTTTCATATAGGACAAGTTGAATAGCTGCTGACCCGTTTTTGTTCCCAGTGTACTACTTTGTTATTTAAAACTACATTTCTGACAAATGGGGGCATTCATCCCATGAGGACAGAAATCTCCAGATTAGTATTTTTTTCTGAATTTCTATAATGCTGGACACATCGGGATTTTTTTTACTAAGCATTATTTTTATATGATACGAAGTCTGTTGCCAAAATTCACAAGTCATTAACATTGTCAGAGTTTACATCACTGCACTTCCTGAGACTTTGTATGTTCATGCCAGAGATTTATAGAATTTCCTGTCCAATGAGTGTATTACTAACTGCAGTCCATGCAGTTTTGGGGTATTCCTTTGGAGTGTTCTAGTGTATCTCCCATGTGTCAAGTAAATCCATTACGTCTTTATGGGCTGTCTGCTTTCTAAATTACTACCTGTCTGACTCCAGCATGTTCAAACTGTCGTGGTAGTTTCCGCTGCTAGGTATTGCTGCTCTTTGTACCACAGATGTTACTGGTTTCATGCACGGGGATTTTAAAGTCTGAAATGCTGCCAGATTGTTCATCATTCTGAAGAATGAAATGAAATGTACTGTCACTGGGAATTTCCTACTGATTTGTGTCCTAATAAGAAAAAAGCGTGGTTCCCCCCTCCCCCCAACAGTAACACGCTGACAGTATTTTAAACTCATTTTGCTGTATGGAATTACCCTTCTGCATGGAAAGCTGCGGTAGCTACTCATTAATTACAGTAAATGGGCAGGTTATCCCAGTCTAATATTTAAGCATGCACCACAAATTTTCTTCAGGAGAAGGAACGCTTTGTCCATCCAGTTACTGGACTGACAAGGGGAGCAGCTCTTAGGATTTTACTGCCAAAGCGAACCAGTTTTAAAAGCCTAGCAAACACTGTACTCTAGCAATATCCATTACTAGAAACACATTTTGTTTCATACCTTCTGATATTTAAACTTGCCGTGCTAGTAGTCCATAAAATCAATTTAGATCATGTTGACCATCACGCTCTATTCTAAATACAATAAATTATTTGTAACCCCCACCCTTCCAATTGGGCACCATGTTGGTTAAGAATTAAAAGATCAGTCTGCTATGCAAACTAACTCTTGAGCCCACCAGTGCCACATTGTGTGAAGAACCTAAATCTAGAACAGTTGTACTTTTCAAGACTACAGTGTTTGGATCATAGTCTCCTTTCCACCTTGTATTGAACTCCACTGCTGTACATCTGCATGGGGCAGAGGCAGGAGGTGTTCATGGTTGGTCGAATACCCAACTCTCTGGGGGGGGGTTAGAGAGTAGGGAATGCATCAACACTAAGTGAGAAGCCTACATTCCTTTATAGAAGTGCCTGCATAGTGACACAAACTCAGCACCTCTCGACTCCATTCCCAGAACTCCACTTGGTATTAATTGAAAGGATGATCCCAGAGGGGATAAACCCACCCAATCTTGTAGTAGTACGTTCCTAATTAAGGATAAAAATTGGGTTTCAGTTTAGGTCACACATAGTTGTGTGTCTTTCCACATGTTCTCCACATCTGTGCTTAGGTTGAGGTTCTCTTTGAAACTCAGTTCATTCACCAGCATTACAAGTGAACGTACCTTGCTGCTGTTGTAAGATGAAAGGTTTTTGGTTTCTAGTTTTATTTTTTGTGAATGTTTTAGTTGGGTCTGGAATGCTGAAATGTCTTTTAGGAGCTGTGGCATAGCACATGCCATTTTTAACCATTTGAATCAGAGTGTGTGGGCATTTACAGAAATAGCCTGTTGCTCTGTAGCATTTTTTAACTAAGACTTGAAATGTAAAATGGACCTTAAGATTTGCACTCATTTGTAAGGTGGCTGTTCATAGAGAACTGTGAATGAAGACACACCGATGTAGGACCTGGTTTTAACAACACAAAAGCTTCATAGCTCTTGAAGTGCTCCACTGAAAACTTTGCAGATCATGTTCTGCCCTTATCTCACCCCATGCACGTTGGATTTTAAACCAATAAAAAAATGAAATCCGTTTTGTAGTTGCTGTGCTCTCTGAACCATGTTTCCATTTCCAAGACGTTTCAATGGGTTAGGTTTACCCGCATGTTATGTATATTGGATTATGCACTGTACCTTTAACATGGCTTCAGTATTCTGTATTTCTACCCTTTTGTTGTCTGAGGTATAAAGAAGTAACTGCATGTTGAGGTGCTGTGTGTTTTACTGCCCCGGGCAGATAGGTGTTAACCCATATACATATCACAATTTATAGTTAGGTACAAATCCCATGTAAGCCACTCAAACAGCTCCTGTGACTTTCTGAATATGCACACGTCCCTTGTACAACTGGAAACATTGCCAAGTGCTTGCAGTTCTGTGGGAGACAGAATAACTTCAATTTAACTGTCAGCCGTTTAATGAGCTTGTTTACATTATGCTTATATCTGAACAACTAGGGGTGTCTGAGGGCAGAACATACCTCAAAAGAACTTGGAGGAGGACAGAGAGGGTGTTCTGATATTTGCAAGACTGAGATGCTCTGATACTTAGTATTGAAAAGCTTGAACCTTTATAAGCTCAAGTGTTGAACACTGCAAAAATGAAATGTTTTCTTTTTGGAAAATTAGTGCAAACAGAAGAATGGGTTGATTCTTTTTGGGAGGGGAAGCGAGACAGCAGAACAGCAATAAAAAAGTGAAATACATATCTTGCGCTTGTGATTTGCACTTCAAAATATTTGTGAAAGAAAACTGTTGGGGACTCCAGTGCTTTTGTGTTCAATTTCTAACCCCTTTTGTACCTCCTTATTCAAGCAATTGTTGAACTGTACATAGATGTTCACAAGACACTCAATTTGCTTTGTTTTTTTCTTTTCCTTGTGTTTGTGTGTTTACTTTAGATTGAACTTTGTATGGTCCATTTGTTAAATAGATATGAACAGTTGATGTACAGTACTTATTAAAAAACAAGCAGCAGCACAACTTATTTTGTAAAGAAAATAATGGCTTATATTTTAAAGGTTGAATATCAATTTTTGTATGAGGGGAATTAAGATTGGTAAAGAGTAATGATATCCTTGGATTAGGCCAAAAGAAAATACATAACCACCTCTTTATTAAAAAAATGAATTAAAGAGTTCCAGAACACTGTATTTATATTTTGCTTTATTGCTTCTGTGGATTTTTTGCCTTGGTTCTGATTTATGCTTGCAATTTTAACTTTGCAATCCCCAGTGTCTGATTCTGTAACTGTTGGCAGAAGACCTAATAAATAAAAGCAATGTTATGTTGGGGTGGCACTTCTGAGTGAAATCCAGGGAGAACCCCCTGGGGAAAACCACATCTACAAAGTGGTAAAAGCATAATCGAGAAGGGCTCAGGTACAAACAAAACTACTCAGCTGTACTTAGATTGCATCCAATACTCCAGGGGTCCCCAGTCTCCTTGGTTTCCAGCCTGTTTTTAATTTCATGAGAGGGAAAACAATACCAATAGTTCTCTTAAAATTTCCTAACTAATTAACTAATCCAAGTTTATTAATAAAAAGTGTCCTCTCTCTGTGTGAATGCTGACTCCAGTTGGACTTGAACTCCTAGTTTATTAGACATCAAACAGCAGTGTACATCACTGGAAAGGTAACTTGTTCCAGAATTATTTGGCTTGTGATCCCAATATCACTTGATGTTAATGGTTTCCAGACAGGTAACATACAGGCAAATACATGTTCTGTAGATTTTTATGACTTTAATTACAAAACCCAAGTTGGGAAAGCTATAATATTTAAATATTCAGTTGAATATATTTGTTCCTTGGCTCAGGAGTTCCCTTCCATGTGTGTAATTTACATCTTCCCACAGGATTTTTTTTTTAATTTCTTGTAAGTTCCAGAACAGTACAGTTTGTAAAGTGTACAGTGAAACCTCATTATCTAGCCAGATAGAACAGGGCCATAGATCTTCCTTGGGCAAACAAAGTTTTGGTAGAGGGGAGACCTCCAATTTAAGTATGCAGCTAAGACAGAAATTAGCTGCACTGCATTCCATATACTAGATTTATTATCCCACATCACTGGCTCCAAGATGCATTAACAACTGATTTCAGGCTTCCTTTGGGTTTGTATGTGTAATCTCGTTCTCTAGATTTGTGCCATTTCATAATATTTAGCACTTTCCATCTTCAGAATGCTTTATGAACTAATTAATCCCCTCAACAGCCAAGAGCAATGCACCTTAGTGCTTGGGGTCTGGGAACGTAGGTAGTTTATCTCTTAATGAGGCGCTTGGCGCTAGTTGTGTTTTGCCCTGTCTATATGTATTGACATAACTTTTAAAACTGAATTTAGTGAGTGAACTGTAATTGTGATTTATTGAATAACACACGGCCCTTTCTAAAAGAAGGTGTTGATTGATTGCTAATAACCACACAAGAAATTACGTGCTAACTGTCAAGCCATAGCATAGAGAACAGTTGCTTTAGTGTATTTTTGAGTGGATGCCTCTGAAGTACTCCTTCAAATCTTTGTCATGCTACTTCCTTGTGCTGTATCTATTTTACTAAGCCATAGCCCAAAGTAGGGGTTTATCATGTAATTTCAAAGGGACTATTCATGAGAGTAAGGTTTGCAGGAGTGGGTCCTGTTTAGATGAATGGGTCTAAAATACAGAAAAAATGGACCGGATGCATTCCAGATTCCAAGTGGTAGTTAGCATCTGCTATTCTTATTCCTTAAGACCCTGGTTTGTCTCTTGAACTAACCAGCCGTCAGATTAAAGGCCTGGGCTATATATTAAATAAATCTGGTTCTGGAAACACACCATGACCTTGAACTGCTGACACAGAGAAGGGGCATAGGGAGATTGTCTGAAACTTGGGATATTCCAAGGTTTAGTGTGGAGTGAATTTTCAGGGCGTGGGAGCTTCTGAATTATGGGTTGATAGTGAAGATGCTGGTAGGCCCCCTTGGTGCTAATACACACTGCTCTTAGCAAGCGTTTGAGTGGGATGCCTGTGGTCAGCCAAAATAAATATATTAGAATGTGGAACTATATTGGGTATTAATAGAATCCTCAAACTCAACAGATATGATTAATTGTTGCTTATTACAAAGGGAATTCGTAAAATACTATTATTAAATGTAAACAGTTTTTGGCCATTAGTACTTTCCCTTTCATAAAGGAACAAAATATATTTTGGTCAGGATGATCCTAACTATTAAAATCTCTAAACTCTGCGCTCAGAATTGTGCATTCTTCAGGAAAAAAAAAGCCACCTCTTATGCTGAAGAAGTGGATAATGAACAAAATTCAGCTTCAGTTTGTGTCCTTTGTCAGGTGGATGGAAATTAACTTTAGAAAAAAGCTGCAACCTTGTGTTACAAATGGTCTCCCCGTTATGGTGGCAGTATTCATGTAAACTGCAGAAACTCAAGTGCTTGTATGACTTTAGAATGTGTGCAGGGGGCAAGGCCTGTTCTTCCTCAACTGAATGTACCTGACAGGCTTGTTAGCAATAAGGGTTACTCTGAAACTGAGGGGAGAACAGACTCCTCTCAGGACTTCAGTTAGGGAAACAAATGTTTGCTTTTAGTTTCCAGTTTTTGAGTCATTTTACCATGTCATTCTTGGATTAACCGGTGTGAAGCACAAACTTGATCCAACCAGCTCCAGTGGGGGCAGTTGACACCCTTAGTACCATGAGCGAAGTTTAGATCCTGTAACTCGTGTTCTCTGAGAGCTACCCCCTGAAGCTCCACTCCTTGTGTTTGAGACATTCTCCCCTGCTGTAACTGTCTTCCCTAGGAGCTCCACTCACCCAGACTTGCCAGGCAGAGCAGTGTTCAACTGAAAAGCCCTGTTTGAAATGGGCACCGCCTCAATTAAAACTAGGAAATGTGATCCTGTTTCCAAAAAGCAGCTGAGAGGCGCAGAGCTGGTCAGACCTAGAACGAGACTTACCTCAATAATATTGTACAGCAGTTTTCCTACAGCGAATAGCTTTCCAAGGCGAGGATAAATGCCGCTAATGATGCAACTCTCCCACTGCTTGAGGCAGCAGTAAAGGTCTGTGGAAAAGCTAAAGCACGTTTAGCAGTACATCTTGCTTCCTCTGTTTTGCTGCTGTAGGTGCGAGGGAGTTCCTGCACCAACTCTATAGAGCGCACACACTCTGTGTTCAATAAAAGCTGCGGTCTTCAGTGTGATCTTCCCAGTTATCCATATTCACATCCATTTCTTTGAGGTCTCGCTTGCACGCTTCCTTGAAATGCAATTTTGGGCATCCTTTGGGTCTTTTTCCAGATGCCAATTTGCCATAGAGGATGTCCTTTGGGATGCACCCATTATTCATTCAACACACATGCCCAAGCCAGCAGAGGTGTCTCTATTTGAGGCGTGTTTGTATGGCCTATTTGAGCACCTCAGTGTTGGTGACACTGTTCCTCCAGGAGATTCCAAAGTTTTGACAAAGGCACTGCACATGAAAGCTGTTGAACCACTTTCTGATGAGAATATAAGGTCCCTGCCTTGCTCCCGTACAAAAGTGCTGATAACACATGCACGATACACACAGATCTGGGTGTGGTCTGTCAGTTTGTTGTTTTGCCATATCCTCTTGCTCAATCTAGATACAGTAGTGGAGGGTTTTCCGATGCAGCTGTTGAGTTCCGTTTCAAGTGAGAGGCTGACTGCAATAGTGGACCGCGGGAATGCAAACTCGTTCTCCACTTCAAGTTGTTGATCTTGGTGGAGAATGCTTCTTCGATGCCTTGAACCATTGTCTTTTTTTAGGCTTATGGTGAGCCTGAAGTCTTGGCAGGCTTTGGAAAATCTTGCAGGTTGGCTATTAAAAACAGCGTCAAAGGGATTGGCCTTTATCCTTGTCAAATTGATTCCCCAGCCTCTCAGGAGTCTTGCACAAAGGGAACAATATAAAGATAACCCAAAAGTCAGCGTTAAGGTTGCGTTGTGAAAGCTAAAGACCATCTTTGTCCCTCAAGTTCTTTGGTCGAGGCCAAGCTTGTAGCACAGTTCAGGGATTTGCTTAAAATGGATGATGGAGTCAGCGTAAGCTTAGGGCATAGTCAAAATATTCAGTTGTAGGGACATCTTGTAATCCTTGGGGTAGTAGCAGCCACTGGAGGCTGTGGCTACTGATGGCCATGTGGCAGGGGTATAACCTTTTTTAATCCAGACCCATGTTATATCCTAGGGTCCAGAAAACAAAGATCATTCTCTAAACTGCACTACTGCATGGAGTGGTTCTCTGTCTACAGTTGTGGGGGAGTCAGCGTCTCTCTCGCTCTCTAAACTGGACTGCCCCTGCCCTTCCCTCTGCCTCAGTTCCTCTTAGGCTTGGAGTCTCTTCCAGCACTGGCCTTCTGCCTCCACAAAACCTTTCCTGTTCCTCAACTTGTTCCTGTGTGTCTCCTTCCTGCATGCCACAATAACTGTTACCCCTTCATTTATACAACTGATGCCCCTGCCAAGCTTGTTCAAAGGCCTTTAGCTGTAGGTATGCTCCCCATTGTGTATCTGTGGTAGCAAAAACTCAATGGGCTGGCAGAGGGGCTTGGTATCTTAGCCTTATCTACACTAGAGAATTGTATTGTGACTAGCCATCCTGTTTGAGCTGTACCAAGTCCACTGCATCTACACAGAACACTCCTTGCACCATTGCAGTTTCACTGAGTACATCTCCTGCTTTTCCCAGTAGTTCCTCGTCCACTCTTCTGCCATAAGCACTCAGATTTCACACATTTTATACATATAAAATGTAAATGCTTAGTTTCAAAAGTGAGAGAGCATACGGATTTGAGTGCACAGCAGGAATACTGGGGGTACTTGTGGGTTTTTGCCAGGCTCAACTAAAATGTCAGTGCTATCTGTGCTGGCACTGCGGAAGTGCAGAGCAATTTGGTGCAGCATGCAATGGGTGTGAGCCTTGCTTACCCAATTACAATTGTAGCAGCTTTGGCAACTCTTTGAGCTCCAATGCAAGCATTTTGTTTGTACAGATGTGCCACGTGTTTCCACTGCTGTAACTCTCTGGCATTGGAGAGGCCTTGGAGCCGTGATCTAGCAATGAGGAGTTGGGATAACAGCAGAAGTTGGCCGCAACTATTGCAAAGTAGCCCTGCTACTTAAGTGTTAAACAA